TATATATATATATATATATATAATTGTTGCCTTCATTATTCTTACCTGGTTGCCAAATCCTGACACTAGCTAGTTCTACCTTCCCAGTCCCAACAATCTGTATTTATCTTCCATGTCATTGATCAATAATCGAATTAATAAGTACTTACTTAATGTACATAAAGAGTAAAATAAATTTAATCTTCATTTACAGAGATTGAAAAAGATAAGGAAAGTTAAGAGAAACAAAGTTAACACAAATGATTAGTCCAACTCTTTCAAAAATACTGTGATTAAAAAAATAGAGTGGTGAACTTGAATCGTAAAATTTTGTTGTTATGGTCCACATTCCAGATATTCAAATTTGCCTTGACAAGGAAATTTTAATGTGTTTACTTTTAGACTAGTCTGTAAGCTATTTTTTATTCCTCTCCTACAGAAAATAAGATTACAATGCAAAAAGTTAATATGGGCTGGATTACCAAAATCCTTTAAAAAGGTGACAACTAATTCTACATTTTTTCCCAAGTAAAGTTCTAACACATTTTTTTCCCAAGATTCATTCAAGGCATTGAGAACACATCCCTGAATAGATAAACTCAAAATAATGTCATATTAAAATTTATTCTATAGACCTAGAAATAAGGTTGATTACATGCATTTAATGGTTTATATCAAAGTAATGAAGTAGAAACTTGGCTCATTCTAGGTTCTGAACAATAAACCAATAAGACCCCTTTCACACTGAGACTTTTCTGAACAGTCATCCCGCTACTACCTTAATTCCATCAGACTCCATATTTTTTTTCAGTCCGAGCTCATCCAGGGCTGAGGTGTCAGGGCCGCCACCATTCCCAACAATAGGATTAACCATGGTGAGAATCTGTCCCTTGTAGGCAGGATCAGTAATAGCTTCTGGGTATCTGGGTAAAGATGACAAAAAAAGAGCCACACAAAGTATGTAAGAAATAATGTAAAATAAATAAATAAATAAGTATAATTTACATATATGCTCTTAATTATTGAACCACTGCAAATGAGAAAACATGTTATTCAAATCCTACAAGTCTGTCTCCAGATTTTAGCAAAGGTAGCGAAATGTTATGATAGCATACAGAAATATGCTCCCCGACTGACGGATATGACAAACTGGCTCTTGTATACTAAGGCAGATCTAAGATCATTTTTATTCCCTCAATTTCTAATTTTTTAATTCTTTAATGGGATCTTAAATTTTTAGATATTGCTCTATTGAAGTTTGCAGCAGTTTTTGGAGTTGGTAAACCATCCCAGTGCAGAGAGGACTTTGCACCAATTTGGTGAAAACAGAAAAGTTTTTGCATACAAAGCTCTTGCCTACCTCTCCCTATCACCCTCTTCACCTGGCTATTCCTCTGCATCCTTGATAACAGGTAAAGGCAGAAAGGAACGTCTGCAGATACCCTGAAGATTCTCCACCAGACAAAAAGTAAATCCAAACTGACATTCAAGCAGTGCCAGTTTCTCCACAGCATGCACTGTGAAAAACTGAAAGGATGTTTTAAAGTCTTTTCTGACGCTGAAGAGGATCCTGAGTGGGTGGAGGGGTGGTGTATGTACATAGTAGCGGCCATTGCATTCACTGAACATGTAAAACAACTGAGGTCATTTCTATGAAAGAAATGCTCAACAAAGTTGATTAAAAAAAAAGCTATAAATGAGGTATATAAATTTGAGTTATTATCAAATGAGGGAAAAAATCAGTCCCACGAAAACTAACTCAAGGTATTTCTGTCTTCTAAATTCATTAAAAGATTCCAAATAACTACTTCAAACTACTAATGGATTTAGGGAGGAATGTGAGAAGTTTTATGTAATTATTTGTGGATTTGAAAATTAGAATTAAAAAAGACAAACATGCAAATATATACATTCTTCATAAATATATACATATAAAATTATACTGATATGTAGACAGATGCACACACACATATTACTCTATTCTTTTTTTAATTAATTTATTTATTCATACAGAACTGAGGTTCAGGACAGAGGTGCAGGGGTGGTGAGAGGATTCATTAGAGACAGAGTGGAGAGCAGCATAGGCTGACTGAGAAAGTACCCTGATGCTAAGGGGAGCAGAGGGTGGGTCAGGAGAGGTCTGCCATGCCACCTGGGTCACCTCCAGGGCTGGGGATCTTACTGGCACTGAAGTGGCTGCCATTAGTTTGCAGTGATGCATACTAACCCGCTGAGCCACCAGGAGGGCCTATTACTCTATTATTAATAAAAAATATTAGTTTCATAACAGCAGGGGCTATCTGTTGCTATTCCATGTATTAGAATTCACTGCAATTGAGTATTTTCTCTCTCTTCTATTTTCACACTCTGCAGAAAATGTTAAAAAAACCCTTTCCTGTGGCTTACCACTGAAAGTAGATTTAGGTGTTGAGAGGAACCAGAACTGACAACCTTGAAACCAATAAAATTCAGCTCTAGCAGGAGTCAACATAAATTCTTCGATCCCATCCAGACTTACTCCTACCAGAACTACCTTTGTCAACAGAACACTTAGTCCTACAGCTCCACAACCCCTAAGGTGAAAAAAGTGCTGTAATATTTATCCACACCTCTATCAGCTAATTTCTCAGCTGCCTTCTCACGTGTCAGGAACTGATAATTTTTTAACCAAGGCTTCTACACAATATAAATGCCATTTCTTGAAGATGAAAAACAAAATAACCTCTTTAATTATCAGCCAACTTACTGATGGAGCCATGTAATGCATGAAAGCAGTTTATGGATTGGAAAATCTGGTCTGTAGACTAACCTATTAATGGATGTCTATTTCTACATAAAAAAAAAAAAACAACTTTAATTTTACTTCCCTTTCTCCTTTCTCTACATAACAGAACTGGTCATTCCCTTTAAACATATACTTACAGTACTCTCACCAGTAAATGAATAAATACACTTGTCCTAGATAGCTTGGTTTTGGAAGCAAATTAATCCATCAGGTCCTGCTTGACTTTTGTGATGTGACAAGATTTATTACCCGTAATCTATCACAGAAAAGAAAACTCTGGTGCCCTCCATCATTCTGATCTATATTAAACAGTTGTTTGTTGGCAGGTATATTAACACAGCCAGTAATTAGTGCTGTCGAAAGCTTAAATAATTGCCTGGTGAAGCAAAACTTTACAAACAGGTTTTATACACTGTAATTTAATGTTCTCACCACTGGATCTGTTTTAAAACCACCTAATAGTCTCATTTCAAACAGAGACCCAAGAGTTTAGAGAAGAATGTACATTAATAATGCAATGGTCGCTTTATCAGTCAATACCTTAATATCAGTTAACCCATGTCTCCTTAACTTTACAATGACCACTGAATCTCCCCAAAGAATGTATCAAATATTGTCTAGAAGTTTAATCTATTGTATCCCTAATAAAACCTCTTGAAACCATTTTCTTAGACTCATATATTTTTTTAATCCCTAGCTGTAAATTTCTATCTAGTCTGCTCACTTTGTATATGTGAAAACTAGAATTCAAAAATCTAAAGTGAGTTTTTCAGTATCATATAATCTGTTATCTATAGGACTGAGACTAGAACTTCAGCTTCCTGACTCCCACATCAACAAACGAATTTGTTGGCTAGTTAAGAAAGGCTATGTGATTTCTGTAGTATCCTTATCTCTGTTGCTGTATATCTATTAGCAGACTTTTTATTGTATTAATTTTATTGGCTTAACACTGGTTTACAACACTGTGATATGACTCAGAGATAAAGGTTCACACCTCTTCAGATGTACGTTACCACACCACCCTCAACGCGTCCATAATCCTTCATGTTAGTTCACTGTCCCCTTCCCTCCATTGCTCCCTAAGGCACATCTTTTCAGTAGCCTCAGTTCTGTTAGATTTCAAGGATATGTTTTGGTTTCGTTTTAACTATTCCTTTGTTTTGTCCCTCTTTTTCCATGTGAGAGAAATCACCTGGTATTTGCTTTCTCCTTCTGGCATTTTGCTTAGTAAAATCACCTCTAGTTCCACATGTTACAGCAAATGGCAAAGCTTCATCTTTTCTTATGCTGAGTTTCATTCCACTGTGTACATGGACCACACCTGTTTTAGCAGGCAGGTCTTACTAATTTGGGTATTAACTAATAACTTTTAAAAAATATCATCTCTATGCACCTGTTCTCCCATTGTTTATGTTAAAATAATAAATGCATTTACTATTGTCCTATTTCATACTACAATCAAAAATTATGTAAAATACCCCAAGCCATTTTAGCTCCTTATTGTAGTTCATATTATATGTACCAAGTTGATTCCTAACTTCACTAATGGATGGCACTAGAGTATGTTTTTTTATCCTTTCCCTCCTACAATTTTCATCTTAGAGAAACTATTTGGAAATCTCATATAAGTTGTATCCTGACACCCTAGGTTTCTAAAATTAATTGAGTTCCTTTTTTTTTCCCAGGGGATCAGCACTGTGCTTGTTCTCCATGATTTAGAGTGACAAGAGATAGTGTCTTTTCAGAAGTAGCTGCAACAGGCCTTAAACATGCACAGTGACGTTTTAGAACAATAGACTTATGATGCAATGATTTTGAGCTTCATCTGTGAAGCTCACTCCTACCCAGTCACTCCTCTACATTGAAGAAGAATCAAACAATTACTCACCCTCCCAGACCAGTATTAAAGACCACTTCACCAGCAACAGAGGATGGATGGCCAAAAGAGTACCCTTTCATCTTCGTTCCATCTTCCAAGACAATGTGTGCTGTCTGGGCCTACAGAAACAAGTACATGAATCTTAGCAGAAGACAAAATCTGAAGCTCTGGCAGCTGGAAAAAATCCAAAGGCACAAAACACATTTATAAATACATGCACAGGTATATTTCATGAAACCTCACTGCCTAGATTTGGAGATGCCTTCCTGTTGTCACTTTTCCTAAAGAATTACTCTTTTGTTTTTTAAAAAATATTTTATTTATTTATGCATACAGAACTGGAGTATAGGAATAGAAATGCATGGGCAGTGAGAAGATTCACCAGAAACAGAGTGGGCAGCAGAACAGGCAGATCAACAAAGTACACTGCTGAGGGGAGCAGCAGGCAAGACAGGAGAGGTCTGCTGTGCCATGTGGTCACCTCCAGGCCAGGCCAGGGTTCAAACTCACACTGAAGCAGCATCAGCTAGTTTGCAGTGCTGTGTCCTAACCCATAACCTGTTGTGCCACCAGGGAGGGCTCAGGAATCATTCTCATCAGGTGTTTTGTTTTACTTGAAAGAAGAACTGAAGCATGTCAGTACATTTTCTATTCGAAGCCTACTTGTAGAATTATTGACAATCCAGACATCCTTCAATTTAGCTGAAATGTTAATGTGTTTCTCTTTTTCCTATGTGTCTATCTTTTTCCTCTTAATATTCTCTAGCTTTGTTCAAGTATAGCTTGAAGGGAAGTTCATGAGTTTGCAAAACATTGTGAATTGTACCAAATAGCTCATCATCACTCTGAGGTTTAGAGCTAGAAGGAATCACCAAGCTTATCTATCAAACTGTTCCATAGAGCTCTTGCGTTTGATAGAGCTGTCCCGAGGGCTGCTCTTCTACTCCAGCTTTATGGTCATAAAGAAGTGGAAATCTTACCACTCTGTTAGTACTTATACAAAAGCAAGCACTATGAAGCATCTAAAAATATATTTTCTGTTATTAGAGTTAACATATCTATCTCTGGTTCTCCTCCAGACTACAAGGCATCCTGACTTTAATTACTTCAGCATACTCATCTTTGAGCCATCTTCTAGAAAGTTCTTGGCAAAAGAGAGAAATTTGTCTAAAAACAAGCATCATCCACTACTCAAAAAATAAAGTCTATCATTGAAACAATTTATATCTAGCTCTTAATTTTCATAAAATTCAGGGGAGAGAAATATGCTAAACCACAGTTTGGGGTAGTGCAATTTCTCCATGCCACAAGACATCTCTAACACAAAATAATTGGAACATGACTTAAAAGAATAATCTATAAAGAAAAAATCTCTGCAACAATGACAGACATGTAAATAATAAATTGATTTTCATACTCAACATTATTTTTTAGAATTGAAGGTGGTTCTGTGATTATAATTTTGAGTGTATTAAAGCTATGCACTAAAATACTTAAGGATAAAGTAAGACAATATTTGAGATTTGCTTCAAATTATCAGGAACTGGAGGGAGGAGAATAGGGGACAGATGACATAGTTTGATCATGAGATGAAATTGTTGAAATATGGGAGATTATTGTGTAAGGGTTAAATGTGACCGTCAAAGACAGAAATATACTAATTTCATACTTATTTCCTTGACATCGCTAAAATTGTACAAACATTGTCTAATGCTTTTATAACCTGCCACCCATATACACACACACATCTTGGTACGCAACAAGAATTCAAGGAAAGATTTCTAGACCTTTGTTTCTATTTACAAAAATGCCATTAAAGCTGACATTTTAAATATCTCTCTCACCAAATGAGTTTATTGTTTTTTTAAGCAAAGGTATAATACATGGAATTCAAGTTTAAATTTCTGTGATATATTGGACAAGTGTTGTACTGTACATTTTAGATGTGTTGTATATATGAGTGTGCCCATGGGCAAAAATAAATTTGTTCTTTCTTAACACATATTATCTTCTAGATAAAGTCTTAACTATAGCAATGGGAGCAGTCTGAGATCTCATAAAGTGAAGGAAAGAAAGGAATACTTTTCTAAATAATAGATAACTTTGATAAAACCTAAAATAGCTTTATTTAATTGAACTTTATCTTAAGATTGATTTATCTTTACGTAGTTATAGTTTATCTTCTCAACCACTAAACTAAAACAAAAACTTTTGGAATTATTCAGCACAAATAATTAAGGAATGTAATTTGAGTTATGACAAGACTTCACTGAGTCAATATTCAAGTTCTGAATTTAGCTTCCATATCCATTTTTTTTAAAGATTTGTTTATTTATTCATATAGAACTGGGGTAAAAGTCAGAGACACAGACAGAGGGTGAGAGGATTCACCAGAGACAGTGGGGAGCAGAACAGGCAGATCTACGAAGTACAGTGCTGAGGGGAGCAGCGGGCGGGTCAGGAGAGGTCTGCTGCGCCATGTGGTCACCTCCGGGGCAGGTGGGGATTGAACTCATGCGAAAGTGGTTTAAGCTTCTTAGTGCTGTACTTTAACCCGCTGTGCCACCAGGGAGGGCCCTAATCTCACTTTTTTAATAACATGCTATTCTTATTTTATATTTTATTTTGTGATCTATTATTTATTTTTAATTTAAGACAAAAGTTATTGGTTTTAGGGGATAAGGGCAATAATGCTCACTATTTTTCTAAACATTATAAGCTATTCATGTGTCTGTGTGATACTTCTCAGGAGGGGTTATGTTTACTGGGAAAAAAATCCCCAGATAACTCTGACATGTTTCACCTGGTGAAATTCTTTGATCCAAAATAATGGAAATTCAATGTCAAAAAATATTTTCTACCAAAAGTATTATTTTCTGTTCTTGGGGAAGTCATCTGTAACCTACATGCTCTCACAAAATGGAAGGGTGAAGGGAATACTCTTCTAAATAGTAGATAACTTTGATAAAACCTAAAGTAACTTCATTTAATTTGGAAAAAATTAGGTATGAACTCCAAATTTTAATTGTTTTCTATCCTCATCTTAGAATTTCAAATTTTCTTATCCCAGGGTGAGACACTAATTATATCAGAGAAAGGTAAAAATTAACATAAGCAAATCCAACTCTTGTTATCCTATCCCTACAAATCTATTTGGTATTTTTATTCCTTTCTCCATGGGACTAGTTTTGTACTTTGCTTCTGTCTTTTAAAGATATATTTGAGGAGACATTTACTGTTGCCTGAAATAGTCCCTGAGATTGTGTTCAATATGTCTTTTTGCTCTTTTAATTATATTTTTTGTTCTTCTTGGCAGCTTTTATAGATCTTCCAATCCTATTTCCCACTACACATTATATTGTTCCAAGGGCTCTGTTTATTGCTTATAGTGCCTGTTATATTCCACTTAACTACACTGGCCTCCAATGGGTTTAAAATGATGAGTGTCAATTGACTTATCTATAAATTGATGGAGCAACTCTGAACAAAGTGCTATTTTTTGGAATCCCCTCTTCTAGCTAACCATTCCCCAAACACTATTTCATCCCAATGAGTCCAAAAGAAATCACCTATGTCCACAGTAAGATATTTTAGTAGCCTCAGTCCAACAGAAAGATGTCTGTGGCCTAGGAATTACCCTGTAAAATTAAGTTGTAATTTAAATTCCTATTGCCAAAGTGCTTTAGTACTTTGAATGCTGAAAGAACCAAAGAAACCTTAATAAAGAGAAGTCTGTACATTCATAAAATGCTATGAAAAGTAAAGATATGTAACTTTGAGCCTTACAAGCTCACTTCGCTCGTGCCTGCTCTCTATGTGAATATGCCACAAATCAGTTTAAACATTTAAGTCAAAACTTCTTTAGGGTCCCTTGGTACCATGTGCCAAATGCAATGCTAAACTCTGGTAATAAGGGAATGACTGTTCCTGTATCTAGATATCTGCATGAATAATAAAACAGAAAAAAAATATCTCAAAAAAAGTATCACCCAGAGCTACAAAGGTAAATAAAATATCATAATGTCCTTTGGAAGAGTTCTCTTGCATAAAATAATTCATCTTTTCTTTTCCATTCATCTTTTCTTTTCCATTCATGAAGCTTTAAGAAACGTGGAATTCTGAATTTAAATTTCAAAATTTAAACACTCCTGCAAGTCTTTGCTCAAATGTAATCCACCTGCAAGTGAGATCTACCTTGACCTCACTTAGGATGACAAGATGCCTGCCTTGCATCCTAGCTCATTAATCTTTTCTTTCATCATAGCATCCAGTGGCTTTTGATGTCAACCAGTGCCTTACTTATTATCTGTCTCATCCCACTAGAAAGTGAACTTCACATAACCAAAGGGTTGGGTCTGCTTTGTTCACATCTACATTAGTGCCTGGCACAGAGCAGACAATCATTCAGTTTGTGGGCTGAATACAGAACCACTGAGTATCAATCTAAAAAAAAAGTTGGGGATAAAAATACTGAAATGGGCCCTCCCTGGTGGCACAGCAGGTTGAAGCACAGCACTGAGAAGCTGTGAGTTCTCTTTGTGTCTTTTTGTGTCTTCCGCATGAGTTTGATCCCTGCCTGCCCCGGAGGAGACCACATGGCACGGCAGACCTCTCCTGACCGCCCGCTGCTCCTCTCAGCAGAGTACTTCGTCGATCTGCCTGTTCTGTTCCCCACTCTGTCTCTGGTGAAGCCTCTCGCCGCCCCTGCACCTCTGGCCTATACCCCAGTTCTGTATGCATAAATAAATAAATCTTTAAAAAAATACTGAAAAAAATATTGTACATTAAGTGTTTACTTTGTCGTAGGTAAGAATTTGAAACTAAGCAAACACCTGTTTTTTGATGTGCCTTCTTATTACATGTAACTAGCAGTGCATCTGTACTATCTTGAATGTAGCCTCATAATTTGTAGATAACTATGACAGTGCTTAAACTACATAACAATCTGCTTCATTCCCTATTTCATTCTGCAAATGGAGAATGATGATTTTGATGATTTTCTTAAATAGAGGGGTATAGGAAGAAATCCCTGTATTCTTCTATTTTGTTTTGGGATAATTCATACAAAAGAATCTTTTACAGCAATTATAGTTTTTATGTTATTGTTATGTATTTTTGT